CTTCTCAGTAATCCTATGTTTTACACCGAAGATCATGTGGTTAGGAACCGATAGCACGACGGTTGTGTTGATAATCAATCAGGCAATACGGTTCGAACTCGTGTCTGTGCAACACCCAGTCGTAGTAACTGTGCAATGTCAGTCAGTAACAACATAGAACTTCGCACGTACGTACATCAGTTCGAGTTGCCACACCACATCAGCACGGAGATGCAGTTGTCGATTCAAATCCCGTAGTGGTAGAGGTAAGAGTAAGAGCATAAGCAGTAATCGGGAAGATTAAGTTTTGAAGATGTTATTTAAAGAGTATGATCCAGTGAAATAAATTTGGGAAGAGAAAAAAAAGAGACAAGGAGGAATCGGGAGATCGGAATTCGGGAGAACACAAAGAGTGTATGCACCTGCGCCATTGCAAACGATTTTGAGCCATGTCATTCAGGGTCTCTAACCATCGGTTGCTATCATCTCGTGGTCCCCAACCAGGTAGTCTACACCTACCAACATGACTCAGTCCACTTGTCAGTGACTTCATAGACTTGTGCCATGTTTTGGTTTGGCCGCCTCTAGCTTTCTTCCAACCTACTCCTATACCACTGAACATAGCACGTCGAGGTAGTCGGTGGTTGAGCATACGTAACGCCTGCCCCAGCCATGTTACGTACTTTCCGCGTACTCGAATCGTTTGCCTTAGTGGTGTGAGGTGAAAAAGGACATGAGAAGGGTTAGTCGGGGAGATAAGAGTGGCATTAGGAGGTGTGGGAAGGATTTGGATGTGATCAACTTGGTCTCGTGTGCTGTTACGAATATGAGGGCTGGTGTCACTTCCCGGCTGCCCACACCGTGAAAGGGCATTTGTTGAGGAACCTGAAAAGAAATCCGATTTGATGTCGGCCTTAACAACCTGGGAGCGTGACCGCAGAGCCCAGGGGACAACTGCTTGAAGCCCGTCGCGCACAGTCTTTTTGTAGGAGGTTTTTGACGTGTTGGCTCCGTTCTTCAAAGGGCCTTACCGCCGGAGACGGAAATCTGTGAGGTAAGGTGAGGTGTGACATTTTTTTGGTTGACTTTTCTAACCCCTTCCTTTCTTGTGAGAAGGCAGCATCGCTGTAGATGCTGGTTTTCCGAGGGAAACACCTTACTGCTGTCACACCCCTCTTCAGTCAGCAGTACGACTTCGCCCTCAGACCTTGAGTTGCTGCTTTTAGTCTTACCGTTCTCCAATCGACCTGCCTGGCATGGTAGAACCTACAGCAACATATGCTCCAGCCAATATAGCTCGGTTGGGTCATCACGATAGGCAAGCTTGACCACCCCGTCAAGGTAGCAGCTATGGTCGGGAACTGCGCAATAACTAACAGGTGAAATAGTTGCAATAATTACATGATCAGTCATGCAGTAGATATCGATATATTAGGACATTGCAAACCACCGGAAGTATGCTTAGTGACACTGTAGAATTATGGTCTACTATGATATTAGTACTGCGCTAATAATAGACCTAATCGTAAAATTGTAGATTTGTCATGATATAACTGCCTAATCCATAAGATCTTACGTGGAAGTCACATCATCGTCTACATCAACTCATCGTATCGTAACAATCACCAATACATGATGTAGAACAAGCTTAGGCTAAAGATAGAACAATATATTTAATCGGAATAAAAGATATAAGGTAACATTCAGTAGGGACCACACCTGCATGGCCGAGCCATGACATTCGATCAACTCCAATTCATTCAACTCATTGTTCGCGCCTTCTCCATCGTTAGGTATTTCTCCGCGTTAAATATTGAATATCTATTTTCTGAGTTGTCTCATGTTCGGCTTTGAGGATTGTGTGGTTATTGTCCAATGCCACTACACTACTCTCCCACCAGAATTAACGTGGTATTGGTTCGATACCAAGTTGGATGGGATTGTCGCGCGTCGGAGGTTACCAAGAATAAGTAGAACCCTCCGGATATTGATAAGCTGAAAGATAAATCAAAAAGAAGGCGGCAGCACCTGGTCGAGAAATACATGTAATAATTTTAAAATATCTGCTTTCAAGCTTAACACGCTTAAAATGAGAATTTGGATGAAGATTATTTGAGCTATAAAAATGGGATTACAATAACAATAATAAAAAGATGCGTGTTAATAGCCGTTGGTTAATAACGAATAGGTAGTAAGTATTTTGTGTTTAGAAATATTAAAAGCAATCAATATTGTAGAAATGTTAATATTGGTATTAGTTTTGGTTTAAATTATAAAATCAAATAACGTTAATGCTAGTAAGTTGTCCATGAGTTGATTTTCAATTGCATTTGTATTAGTAGACTAACTGAAGGAACAAAAATATTATCGTGGAGAAGAGTTCCAACTAGTGTTCCAGTTAGTTTAACACAGTTTATTTAGTTACGGGGAGATTTTCTCAATCTCATTTTTACTTGACCGTGATAGAATTTAGTAATACTACTAATGCACATGAAGGGTTATCAAAACAAAATTTAAATACGTGAGTGATAATTATATGAATTTTGGACAGATAACTACGAGCGATTCGTTAAACGCGATTGCATTCGTAAGAGACATGCTCTAGACTCAATGTTCTGATCTGCGGCAGACTATTTATTTATATTTATACTTGCCGGCTGATTGGGCATACAAGTTAGTTGCAAGTACGCGGTTTATCATAAAGCGGAATACGACTTAATTGAGATATAATGGTTATAAGTTATTGAAATCAGTTAGGCATATGTGTCATATTCCTAGGTGATGTGGTGCTGCAAGATGTATTTGACTAAATAAGTTTTTACAAGTTGATTAAATAGTGAGTGATGCTCATGTGATTATCAGGGAGAACATAAGTTGTGAGCAAGGGGAGTACACTCTCAACTCATGTCTATGATAATGGCTTGAACCTTAGTCAGTGTTGGGGTAAATTCGACACTGATGTTTTCAGTTTGCAGGAGATTTGCTCGACTGCTTATACTGATTATTTGCATGCATGATTGTGTCGCTAAACCATCAATAAGACTGACAAGGTTTTGAGATATTTACTGAATGACCAACTGATAGAGAAACATACTGTAATCATCTGTGATGGATGAAGATACCAAGAAAACAACACCATTTAATGGTAATTATAAGTCAATTTGTTGACCGATTTCGTTAATAGTTTCATTAATTTTATCAGTCATATTACGTGATTGTCAAGTAATGACAATGCTTTATGACGATATCCTGAAACTATTATGTTTAACTAGTTATAGGGTTGAATGAGGATTAGTCAGTGGAAAAATATGTATTGTTGCTTTGCTTTAGGTGATTCGAAGTTATCAGAAATTTATAACGTCAAAGGATCCGAGACGCCTAATTTAATTATAAATTTCAATTCAGAAATATTCCTTTAGTGTTAATTCTAGTAGGCTACAGAGTTTTGATTTTAAACTTTTGTTTAACCAACAGCTACCTGGGGATTCAGTTATTTTACTAGTGCAGTTGATAGTACCCAAATTTTCAATCTTATTATCTAAACTATGTTCGCATTTTAGGCTAATAATATGATAAATCAATCCATAAACCCAAATACGATTAGCAACAACGACTATGATGAGTTTATTGATAAATGTTTAAGGCGATTCAGATGGTTTCTAAATTTAGAAGACATGAAGATATAGTGTAACGTATGTACGGGCCAGGTTAACAAGCAGGTTGTTGACGTATATGACAATTTAAAAATAATAGACATGACCAGATAAATAAATCCAAAGTTAAGAATGCTTGTGAAACTTCAGGCAGGAATATGACGCGTTATAAACATTCCATAAGAAGTTACTGCATTTAGCCTAGGGACACTTACAAATATATGGCAAAAGCAACTGGAAAACATATACATGTTAAGTACAAAAAATCATTGGGTAAAATAGTTGAACTTGCCTGGGTTATTTTTGAAAATTAGATTATTCAGTAGACGACATATATAACACCATTCGTGAGGAGTAGTAATGATCCAAAAGCATCCAGAATAAAACATGCAGTATGGCAATCACTTCCAGGGTGCCTGATGCTGTTGACATTCACAATGAATCCTTCAGTTTGTTTAGTTCTGGGATATCACATAGTAGTGAGTTTAGGCTAGAGTGAGTATAAATAAGGCATCTTCCTTCTCGTCCTTTCAGTCTATCGCTTCTATATAAGAAATAGTTAACAAGAGATATACTTAGGTCGGAAATATTACTGTTAGTCCGTGCTTCAGATATCACTATAAGTGACCACGTGGTCGGAAGAAAGAGGATATGTAATTGTAGACATAATCATCTGAATGCGAGACTTCTGAGGTAGCTGCCTAGATATTGGGAAAAGTGTCCCCTATCGAATGCGTAAAGATATGTCTATGATGCTTGGCTAATTGACTTGAGCTAGAATACTTGCCAGAAGTGGTAGTTTCAATAAAGAGACCGATTACCTCTAAACAATTTGCTCGGGGAACTTGCTTACAGAGAAACATAGGGGCAACACAATCATGATTTCAGTCAATCTTGGCCATATTCCATGTGGACGCCGATGACTGTCCGCCTTAGTAGCTTGCTATGCTTAGCAGCGTCTGGTCATCTTTCCTTACTATAGGTGAAATCTAGGACACATTCTACTTCATAAATGCATAACTATTGGTTTTTTTCGTTCACAAGGCTTTCATCTATTGAGCCAACAAGCGATAGCTCTTAAGACTTCACTCGAAACTAGACCACTCTATTTCGCACATCCGTCATGGTAATGACGTGGTGTAAATTCTACTGGTTTCGTGGCACGTCCAAAACTAAATTCGAGTTTGAATTATTCAATAGTCTCTCAAGGTTCCTAGAATCCGGCTTAGCTTACTGAGCGCTACAATAAGAAAATTCTTTCTTCTAGAACTCCTACTTCCCCAAAACAAGCGTATTCATCCACCCATCAACTTCCCTGGAGTAACTGTGACAGAATGCCTGAAATACCCACATTGGACAACATTTAACAACAAGAACCGTGAGGCGGCTACTGAAAGTGAACTTAAATATATCGGTCAGTTTGTGCAAGCTCATCTGAAAGATATTGGATATTGTACCTATATCTGAAACATATTTCAATGCCATCCTCCTGGCGGGAAAGGGTTCGACCAGTTAGTTCCGTGAGTCCTCACAAAGTTTCTGTATGATTTTTCGTGTTTAGCTTTTTCGTTTCTAAATTTTCGGGTTGTTATAATATCGTGTTAGTGGATATGAGTCAACTAATAATGCACTAATGTTATACACTGCATGGGTATACTGTATACATTACTATTTGTTGATTTTGGTTTGAGTCATATCATGTGATTCGAAGCAATGTTGGTGGAGATGGAAGTTAACAAGTTATTAACAAAATTTCCTTGCGAATTCGTCAATAATTCCCGTAGGCTTTAAATCCCTCAATTTTTTTCCAAAGGGCACACAATTTGGTTCGTTATACATTTCTATTAATAAGCATCCCAAACAACCAAAAAAGGGGAAATAAAGGGGTAAATGCTTTAGAAGAGAAAGGGGAAAACGCATCAGAATGTCGCCTTTTTCGCCTCTTTGTTGATGAATTGCCGACTTTTCGCCTAAATATCCGCCAAATTGTCTACTTTTCGCCTAAATTTCCGCGGAATTGCCTAGTTTTCGCCTAAATTTCCCTGGAATTGCCTACTTATACACTTAATTGTCTACTTTCGGCCCAAATACACACAGAACTCCATACTTTCGATCCATTGACATAACCCCAAAGGTCCCCTATGTTTGCCTTTATTTTCAACAACAGATCAAAATAAAACTGCAATGCACTGGAAAACCGGTATATTTAAAAAAATTTATTTAAAAGGAAAAGCGTATTATTGTACAACATTAGAGCAGAAGCTTCAGCATTGATTGTTTTGCATTTCCATTGCAATTGCTAATTGTTATTTGAAATTATCTGCAAAAGAAGGAACAGGTGATATATTATTTATAAGGAATATGCATTTAATCAAAAGTTCACTGACACAAACACACATTCTCAACACTTCTATAGTTTCCCATGTAAGTAATAAAGTAAGCTCTTCTACAAAAAATTGTTTATTAAACATGAGGTAGAACATAAAGAAAATTGCACGGACTATTCCCTTCAACCATGTTCGTTCGGCTATTGAGAATTGAGGTAGTCGTCCCGTGAATTCTGAAGTGAAAAAAAACACAAAAAAAGTCACAACGATATCTCAATGACATGCTTTGGCACAGCCATTTACTTGAAGCTGAACTTACGGTTATGTTCGTTAATACTGTTGACTGTAACTATAGAGCCGTAGGGAATTTATCACTTTAAATTAGTACATACCTGGTCTTGTTTCCTTCTATTACGCTTTATCATTTTGTCTCGGATATCGTAAAAGTAACCTTGTGTCGCGATGTCGTACAGCTCAGCAAGGTCTTTTTCGTTGACAGCGAATGACAGAAAGCGATTTGTTAAGGCACCTGAAGTTCAAATAATAAATATGAGTTACTTCGTATGCAGCCGTAAAACCGGCATTTCTGAAGTGCTCGTTTTGAGGTGCCAAGTAACGTGAATTTACTGGCAACCTCAGGTGTCAAGAGGTGCGACAGAACATACCGCATTGATGTTTTCGGATCGTCACTTGATAACCTCGTAACCATTGCCATCTGTAATAGGAACAAATTATCAAATTAATGTTGGTGACTTACAAATCGGTCCCTGGTTTCTTTCTACTGCAAACTAGTGTCCAGCATCTGTAGTTCCTCTTCAGATGACAAAGGGAACTGCTGACTCGAGATTCCGCAGTTGAATTGATGCGGTTGTTCTCGTTCATTGGACTTACATAGTAATTGCTTCACGTTAATACTCAAATTAGTAATAGCTGCGGATATGTTCTGCATCAATTTGTACAACCTATCAAAGCTCAGCGATGTATTTGACATTATATACATCATAAAGTCGTTCATCAGCTCTGCGATTTACGAACTTCTGAGAGCACAAGTTCACTTCAGTACATCCTATAATTAATATTTTCACGTATGAACTTAATGTACATACCACTATTATCTGAAAGCCTCTGATCGATGTTGCTAGTGGACGGTGTAACAGTAAAAGTACTGTCATTACAATGATTTCTCTCTTTACTTCTATCAATTTAATAAACAACACTGTTGAACTCAGTTACCTTTTATGGTGCTTTCATTAGCAAACTCACTAAACGAAATAAAGTCATATTTTTTCATGAAAGCGGCTCGCATTTTATTCCACCTTCTGTTATAAGTGGTTCTGTGACAGCCAAAGGTACGTGAAAAGTTCACAGTGGCCTTACGTCTACGAACATTCTCACTGACTTCAATGAAACTCATATTGGACTAACAAGGTAATAAGTTATAATGAACATGAAAATCGAAGAGCACGTCACTCACCTGCATCACGTAAGTTTTTTGTGATGGCTCCTAAGCATGTCGGAACACTTTAGCTAAACAAAAAACTAAGTCAGTGCATATGCGTCTCACCCGAATGCCTGGTGCATTATTTTGTACCTTGTTTTTATGACAATAGCTTTGTTTTTTTTATTAGGCGGTGCCTTAATTTGTCGACGTTTACGAAAACGTTAGTTCGGGATGCGGTATATTCAAACACTATGTTACGTATAATTGTCGACAAATTTCCCTGAAATACACGCCGTAAGGGGGAAATCGATATTTCTCCTAAATAACCGCCGTGAAGGCGAAAAAGCGACATTTCTCCTTTATTTACGCTTTCGTCCGCTTTATTTCCCCTTTATTGGTTGTTTGGGATATAGTGTAACACCTCAGAAATGTGGTAAGGTGTCCTGTAGTTACTTTCCTTATGTAGAAGTGCAATCTTATCTAGGTACCGTGTCTTTAGGTGCTGTAGGTCTCGAATTGTTCACATCTGGCGACTAGATCACAAGAAAATGTTCTGTTAGCACGTCTAGTTTCTCGTAAAGGCTATACGTTGTCCTAGAAGTGTTAAACTATCATCATAAACAAGCTACAGTCCAGAAGTGTGTGGGGGAAATTTTTGTTCAGTATTGAAGTGTACCTCACCATCGTTCTCAGGTCCTACAACTGTATGCGACACATCTACTTCAACATACTGACTTTGTATCGACAGCCTTCCAGGAGTTTTTGAGCATAATATATAATCTCATCCCGAGATTCGTGCTATCACTGAGTTAGAAAATTGTTTAGCATAAGATGAATGTTGATATATAGCAGTGTTTTCAGAATGCCCTGCATTTCCAGCGGGGTAAGATTTACATACAACCACCGAGCTAGCAGGATTTGATATGCCCTACACACTGGCTTAGTAAGTCCATTGAACCTATCTAATAGTTTCAATTACATCTTCACTTCAATGGCTTGTTTTATTGTATGATCGATTACTCTTACTGTGGATATCTCTTTCGAGATTGTTTTCATCGACAGATGGGTTTCAAACTTTAGCGTATCGTTAGCATTCACGTGAGATAGTGGTTCCTAATTCCAACATAGTTTGTTAAATGGGCTCACTCAAGTCTTGGGTGCGCATTATATCATTATTACAGTATTCCATCCAACGGCTAACGGACTTGTGGAGAGGTTCCAATGACAACTAAAAAGCGTTGGTAACTCAGCCTGAGATATCCTATTGAAATGAATACAACCTACTGCTTTTACTCAGGACTCGTTCAGCCGTTAAAAGGTTTGCATTGTACACCTGCGCAACTTGTTTATGGTTCTAGTTTAACTTGTTGCCCCTATACGAGTTAGATGTGCTGGCATCACGTCTTTCTGATGCACAATTAAAAACCTGTAATAACACAGGAAGCTTATACCAAAGAACGGATCAGTAAGCACTGTTGCACTTACGGCCTTTTTGTTCGAAAAAACACGTTCGTAGCACTGTCCATTTAATTACTTACGCCTGTTACTCCTAATGGAGCATAGGCCGCCGACCAGCATTCTCCAACTCACTCTGTCCTTGGCCTTCTTTTCTAGTTTCATCCAATTCTTGTTCATTTTTCTCATGTCTATTTCCATTTCCCGGCGTAATGTGTTCTTTGGTCTTCCTCTCCTCCTTTGGCCTTGAGGATTCCATGTGAGGGCTTGTCTTGTGACGCAGTTGGGTGCTTTCCTCAATGTGTGTCCTACCCACTTCCAGCGCTTCTTCCTGATTTCTTCCTCCGCTGGGATCTGGTTTGTTTTTTCCCACAGTTGGTTATTGCTAATAGTGTCCGGCCAACGGATCCGAAGTATTTTGCGTAGACAACTGTTAATAAACACTTGTATCTTCTGGATGACGGATTTCGTAGTTCTCCAGGTTTCCGCCCCATACAGTAGAACTGTCTTGACATTTGTATTGAAAATCGTGACCTTGGTGTTGGTTGACAGTTGCTTTGAGTTCCAGATGTTCCTCAGTTGTAAATATGCTGCTCTTGCTTTGCCGCCTTCACATCTGCATCAGATCCATGTTCATCAATGATGCTGCCCAGATATGTAGAGGTTTTTACATCTTCCAAATCTTTTCCGTCAATTGTGATTGGATTGGTGCATGTTGTGTTGTATCGGAGAATCTTGCTTTTCCCTTTGTGTATGTTGAGACCTACTGCTGCTGAGGCTGCTGCTACACTGGTCGTCTTCTTCTGCATTTGTTGTTGCGTTTGGGACAGAAGGGCCAGATCATCTGCGAAGCCTAGATCGTCCAACTGCATCCTAGATGTCCATTGTATCCCGTGTTTCTTTTCAGATGTTGACGTCTTCATGACCCAGTCAATCATCAGGAGAAAGAGAAAGGGTAAGAGTAAGCAACCTTGCCTGACACCAGTCTTTACTTCAAACGACTTTGTCAACTGTCCTCTATGCACGATTTTGCAGTTTAATCCATCATAGGAATTCTGTATGATATTGACTATCTTCTGAGGCACGCCGTATTGTCGAAGAAGCTTCCATAGTGTTGTCCTATTCACGCTATCAAATGCTTTCTCGTAGTCAATGAAGTTGATGTAGAGTGATGAATTCCATCCAATTGATTGTTCCACAATGATCCGTAGAGTTGTGATTTGGTCTGTACACGATCTATCCTTACGTAATCCTGTTTGTTGGTCACGAAGTTGGGCGTCTATGTAGTCCTTCATTCTGTTTAACAATACCCTGTTGAAGAATTTTCCAGGTATTGAGAGAAGAGTGATGCCTCTGTAGTTATCACAGTTGCTGAGATCGCCTTTCTTCGGTATTTTGATCAGAAGTCCTTCTTTTCAGTCTTTTGGTACTTGTTCCTCATCCCAAATTTTATTGAAGAGAATGTGAAGTATCCCTTCAGTTACCGCCACTTCTGCATTTAGTGCCTCTGCTGGAATGTTGTCTGGTCCTGCTGCCTTGCCACTCTTGATTTGCCTGACGGTGATGCTTATCTCTTCAATTTTTGGTGGGCCAACATTGATTGGGAGGTCCGTGGGTGCTGCTTCGATGTTGGGTGGGTTTAGTGGAGCTGGTCGATTCAAGGGTTCTTTGAAGTGTTCTACCCACCCGTTTCGTTGCTCTTCAATGTTGGTGATTACCTTGCCTTCCTTGCTTTTCACTGGTCGTTCTGGTTTGCGGCGATTTCCAGAGAGTTTCTTTGTTATGTCATACAGTTGTCTCATGTTCCCTTCTCTTGCAGCCTTTTCTGCCGTCGTTGCTAAATCTTCCACATATTTACGTTTGTCAGTTCTGATGCTCCTCTTCACTTGTTTGTTTACTTCTGTGTATTCAGTTTGTGCTTTGGCTTTCTCTGCTCTTGTTCGGTTGGTATTGATTGCTGCCTTCTTGTTCCTCCTTTCTTAAATCTTCTCCAGTGTATTAACAGTGATCCATTCCTTGTGATGGTGCTTCTTGTGACCCAGGACCTCATGACATGTTGAAGTGATTGCCTCTTTGATCCCCTTCCAGTTGCTCTCCACAGTAGTTCCTTCCCTGGCAGAGGCTATATACGCGTGGCCATGTGAGAGCATTTCGAGAGGGAGAGTGGACTCTCCCTACTCTCGGCCGTACCACGGTATTTGGGGACGTGTGTGGGTCAAAGTTGCTTGAAAAACAAAGAATATGATCAGTTAACGGAAAATATAAACCAATAGTGAAATCGAACACCTATAGGGAGGTAAAATATCGATCTGGATTACTGTGAATAGTTTTCAGCTAAACCACACAAGATCTCCAATCGATAGTCACAATTATCGCGTGGATCCCATGCAGAGCCTGCATCTACCAACACTTCTCAGTCCAATAATCACTGCTTAACACCACATTTTGACTTATCCACCCTTCGTTTTTTCATCCTACCCTGCTGCAGACAGCATTAAGCGTCAAGCTAAGTGCCAGGAGAGGATACGTAACATGTATCCCTGTCATCTCAGTAAATGTAGATTAGTGACTTCATCAACCGCCTTGCTATCATCACCTAGTGTCTTGTTTAAATGCCGTGGTACGGCCGAGTCAGTCAGTCACTAACAACGTAGAACTTCGTACGCACATCAGCACAGAGATGCAGTTGTCGATTCAAATCCCGTAGTGGTAGAGGTAAGAGTAAGAGCATAAGCAGTAATCGGGAAGATTAAGTTTTGAAGATGTTATTTAAAGAGTATGATCCAGTGAAATAAATTTGGGAAGAGAAAAAAAAGAGACAAGGAGGAATCGGGAGATCGGAATTCGGGAGAACACAAAGAGTGTATGCACCTGCGCCATTGCAAACGATTTTGAGCCATGTCATTCAGGGTCTCTAACCATCGGTTGCTATCATCTCGTGGTCCCCAACCAGGTAGTCTACACCTACCAACATGACTCAGTCCACTTGTCAGTGACTTCATAGACTTGTGCCATGTTTTGGTTTGGCCGCCTCTAGCTTTCTTCCAACCTACTCCTATACCACTGAACATAGCACGTCGAGGTAGTCGGTGGTTGGGCATACGTAACACGTGTCCCAGCCATCTCAACTGATGAAGTTTCACTACTTCATCAATTGATATGCCATCCTTACCTAGTACCCGTTTTCTAACAACTGTGTTGCTTACTCGATGGTCCCATGATATACGAGCAATGTTTCGAAGACACCTATGATCGAATACTAGTAACCTACGAATATCCTCTACTCTTACTGGCCATGTTTCACTGCCATAAAGTAGGACGGGACGAACTGCTGCGCAGTAAACACGTCTTTTGGTTGAGAGACGGATATCTCGCCTACGCCATAAATGACGCAAGTTAGCAAAAGCTAGTCGAGCCTTCTGTATCCGTGCTGAGATTTCGTCACACACCAGACCACAAGGGCTGATGAGACTTCCAAGATAAGTGAAGCGGTACGGCCGAGAGTGGGGAGAGTCTGCTCTGCCTCTCGAAATGCTCTCACATGGCCACACGTATACAGCCACGATCAGAGAATTCCTACCCAATGCCTTCTCGCGGTGGTTTATTTATTATTTATTTATTTGAACACGTAAATATTGGTACAAGAGGGCGCCAATATATATGCGCCACACAAAATAATGAGAATTCAAAGAGAAGGAAAAAGAAAAAGAAGGTAATGAGCGTAAAAAAGAGAACAGTAACGAAGAGATTGGAGTAAAGTAGTGTAGTAATAATAATAGTAATAATGAGGGAACGGAAAGGTACAATCAGAAGAAATCTTTCAGTTAAGGGAGACACAAACACTTTTTATGAAGAAAGTAAGAGAAGGTTACAGCAGGATCGCCGCTGGCTTCTATTCTGAGCCATATCTGATAACGTGTCTAGCCACTGTGTAGAAACGTCTCTCGGACCCCAACCAGGGGATCGTGAAGGACCAACACAAGCCAGTCCTTTGCAGCTTTCTTTCATGCCACGACACCATGTCATATACTGACCACCTCTCCGCTTTTTACAGCCAGTCCCAGAGTCGGCAAATAATGCACGACGTGGAATTCTCTGGGACGACATTCGTAGAACATGTCCAAGCCACCGAAGTCGGTGTTTCAAGATGGTGACACCGATTGCCTTATCATCTCTGTGCCCGAACACACGATGCCGAGCCTCTGCATTACTAACATGGTGTTGCCACTGAATGTCAGCAATCCTTCAGAGACAACGATGATCAAACACAGAGAGTCTTCTAACGTCCTCAACTCGGAGAGGCCAGGTTTCGCAAGCATAGAGCAAAACTGCTCTCACCATTGATTTGGTTTGGGATCCGGTTAAAGCGCTGGACATTCGCGGTGGGGGTGTTATTTACGAAGTTGGGAGGGCGAAAAGCGAATGTCCGGCGCTTTAACCGGGTTGGTGGATATGGAGAATCCACCCAGGGGATTTGGTAGACCCTAACTCCAAACGAATGGTACATATGGGCTCCGGTGTCCTGAGGGAGCAAATGGCGTATGAACCAATCGTTGGTCACCAGCTACCATGGGACTGCATCTTCTAACGTTGCTCCACTACCTTGTGGATTAGATTTTTATGTCGAATGCTTGGAGTGTGACTCCCTAAGAATACTACCTGTTTCGACCTGGGCATCTGGGCAGTATCACAGCCCATACACAAATCAAGTGACTTGTGTGGTGGATATTTATTCGGTGCCCTTTGTCCCAATATTTATGTTTTCAAGTAAATAATTAAACCCAATTTCAATATTACTCTGTTGTTCCACCATCCACCACCAATGCTACGAAGATATCTATTGTCAAACAATAATCAACCTATGTCATGTACCTTTAAAGGGTTGCTATCGCAAAGTTAAACAGTGAATTGCTATAGAATGTATCGGGGAATTTTAATTATATATATATATATATATATATATATATATATATATATATATATATATATATATATATATATATATATATATATATATATATAAATCTTTCTGCATAATTATTGTCTCACCATTCTTAATTTCTGTCTATTTATTTTAAATCTCCTTAGCTTCTTATAGTTTGAAAATGAGCACTCCTAATCTACCAAATGGTACTATCAGATCTGGTTTACCTTTTGAGTTATGTCGTTCTGACTACTCCCTCCCGATACCGGTCATATCACAAGCATCATCCTTAGTTTCCGTTCCTAGAAATGTATTTAATGCTTATCCATCAACTGCACAATCCAGAGGCAGTAATGTCCTACAGAAACCTACCGGTAAAATAAATCTAGTTTATTAAAATTGCTTTTCTAGTCAGTAATTCAACGTCAAATTTCCCTTTAGTCACTACAAGTAACATTGCTCAGTCAAATGCCAACGCTTTCGCAAATTACCCAGCATTTAACAGTATTTTTCAAACACTTTTACGTGGGACAAATCCATCTCAAGTTACCATTGCTCCCCCGAATGTCTCAGGTTATGTTAATACAGTGGCAGGACCGAATGGGAATCTGTTCACTGGTTTTCGACCTACGCAACTATCTTATCAGCCGAATATTCGCATCACTGCGCCTGGAATTATTTCGTCTGGATCCACGCATGGCACAGTAAACTCAGTTGCACTGAGGTCAACAAACTGTACCACACGTAACAATGTCAATTCCACATCGACATGTACAACCACGGCCACTACAACTTGTAATTCACTGACTACCAGTCGTGCAGCCAATCCATCCGTGGAATCATTATTTGTGTCGAGTAATTTTGTTTCAGTTTCTGACTCAATCAATCGCACGCGAAAACTGGGTGCTGCGGCTTTTGTTCGATGGGCAGAAGGTTTGTAATGTTCGATTTCTTTTCTAGGATATTTTTCACTCTAAGTTATCATCGAATTTCATTTAAGCCCTCTCTTGTAGACAAAATACCTGATAATTCTACTGTGCTTACTGCAAGTTCAGAATCAGCTCAGCTATTCGCTTACTGGCGTTTGATAAAATCACTAATTTTCTGCGATCGTAGATCACGAATTCATTTTATACCTTGCACGTGTATTAAAATTCAGTACCGAAAAATTTGTTTCTTTTGCATGTATGTGGTCTTTCTTACCGTAATATCAGATCTTCACGTGTAAGACTCCGTCGTTGAAGGTATATGTCATGGAAGGATTTCGAGTATTTCATAATAGCGAGTGGCATTTAGCTTGTTAAAGTAAAGGGATCTAATTCTGATCGACAGAGGAGACTCATTGATGCGGTGTAAGCGAGTAATAACTGTTTACAAGTTCAAATTATTGCCGTAAGTCACTAAATAAAATCACACTAAAAAACAAGTCAACTATCCACCAGAATAAGTTTTCTTTTAACAAAATATTATGTTTATGTACAATACATTAATTACAAAATAAACATAATTAAATTTCCTAGGCGATTGGGAGATAAGAGATTTATAGATCAGTCACTCGCCAACAAATTCGAACTTGACTTAAGCGTATTTCTTAGGCTTCATATCGACACAATTGCTGAATAAAATAGTGTGACTTAATTTCTTTTTTATTTATTTAAACCAGCTCTCTTTGATGTGAATTTATTATTTTCTTTAACGCGTTTGTTGTTAGTTAGAATCATTACCATAGACGTTCATGGTATTACTTTACTTCGAGTTTTTGCTAAGTTCTGGTTCCATCTTGTATGTACTTGACAGAAACTAGAAATAGCAGTAGTGAATGGTGATCACATTAAATTTATTATACAATACTTGCTAATGTTTGAAATGTATATCGAATTCATGGAACATTGTTTTGTTTTCACGTAACTGTCTGATTTATGCTTATCATTTTAGTTGTATGACTAAATCATATAGTAACATTTGCTTTCCTTTGTATTTAGCGTGTACACGGTCGTTCAGAAAGGAGCGGATTTCTGTTTGGCCTCGATGCAAAGCCGATTCAGATGCATTGCATGAAATGAACTGGATCATTTCTCCACCTGGTCTTTTAGGGATTTACTCTGAATCTCCTTTTTTGCGACCTGTAGTACTACTGCGCCGTGTTCAGTTTACTGCTCCTGGAAATGTCAATCCAAATATACCGGATACTGATAATATGGTCCGTTCTCTGCGTGAAATAGCTGATGCTAAAGTAACAAAGTATCCAGGTTTCGCTCCACAATTTCCACCTTCCGCAGCTTCTGTAGGTTTCACAACAGACTACATGACCTATGTATTTACCTTAGAATTGGAGCGTCAAGTTGTCAAGCTACTACGTCCTAAGTAAGTTCATATGTACTGATATAATAAAAGCGCCAACAAATAAGGTTGAAACTCACTGAATTGTTAGACTAATCAGATAAATTCTTGCATAATGATGAATTAGATGTTAGATGCAGGTCTTCATGACACTGTGTAGTGAAATCTTAACGTAAAAGCTGATAGCTGTGCATTCGATCTTTAAAAAAACTTCCGTAAATTTAAGTTGGAGATTAATTTTAATCTACAATTAAGCAGCGGAAATCTAGAAAAAGCGTGTAGACAAGCTGTTCTTCAAAAGGTGATGGTAAATACATTTTACAAGGGGGGAAAATTGAACATTATGTATTTCACAACCGTATCGAATTTTAAAGAAAACGAAAGCATCGAAGTTACAGACAAGATACTTATTTTCATCAATCGCCACAGCATATATTGACTGACACGTCTATTTGAATATTTCGTTCTGGCCTGTCTTGATGAGTTTGGTTTCTGCAGTGTGCATAAAAAGTACGTTTTTTTAAACTTATTTTCTTAGATTCATAACCAAATTTTGTCCCAATAATCATTTGTATAATGCATAAAAAATCTATATAGTAAAACCGTCCACTTGAACAAATCCCGTACAACTAAAACCATTTCAGAAGAAGTGGCTTACACTAAAAAACGAAACGTCAGAAAATTTAAAAACCTGATTTTTCTACTCATTTCAGTATTACAGATATATTATTTTTACTAATAAAAATCTACCCAATGCTCAATTTATGTGGAATTATCGAGTCAGACCTTGGTAATGACACCCACCAATCTGAATCCGATGCTTACTTAGATACTCATACCTTGTAAAAACTCTTCGAATGTGTGGAAACTATTTAAAGAGATTACAGGTGGGAGATATATTGATGAAGATAACCAGCTGAATGTTTATGACTTAAATAAGTCTTTTGTACGTCAGTTATCTGATGTCATGCTTCCTGTATCCACAAGTTTAAAGAATAGTTGTGTTTCGATATTCATTGAAACTGATGCCTGATAGTGTTTCCAGTCAATCAACTCGTTCTAATATTTGGGACCTGACGAAATCCCAAACCTCCTTTTTAAGAAGTGTGCTGACACTCTATGTCATCCATTCATGGGCATCTTTAACAAATCCTTCTCAACTAATTTCGTACTGAAAAGGTGGAGGAAAGTATATGGTGATAGGAATGTGAAAATTACACCCATAGCAATAACTTCTTTTTTCAAAACAATGGGAAAACTACTACTACTCCCACTTCAACCTGCATTTAAAGAGCATATTGATCCATATCAGTTTGCTTACAAATGCAAAAGAAGCATCTTCGATGCTGCTATTATTTTGCACCATAACACGTTTACTGTCACTAAAACCTACAACTTGATAACCATCTGGATGCGTTCTTACCTTTCTGGAAAAGAGCAGTACACCGTCCTCGGAAGAAAGTGTTCTACGTCTCCGCTTGCTCATGAAGGTGTGCCACAATGAGCTGTTCTGTCTCCTTTTTTTCCCTAAATGATCTGCCATCTTCGACAGGAAATACTTCTGTTCAATGTATGGACGATCTCACTGCATATACACCGATATCTACCTATTTATGTCCCCTTGAAATGAATGAGCTTTTGTCTCTCATTGAACGATCGTTGGTTGTTAATAGCTTCACACGTAATCTTTCTGAATCGCAAACTTCCCTCAAATGCCCTGGTACGGCCGAGAGTGGGGAGAGTCTGCTCTCCCTCTCTAAATGCTCACACATGGCCACGCGTATACAGCCACGATCAGGGAAGTCTTACCCAATGCCTTCTCGCGGTGGGGGTGTTATTTACGAAGTTGGGAGGGCGAAAAGCGAATGTCCGGCGCTTTAACCGGGTTGGTGGATATGGAGGATCCACCCAGGGGATTTGGTAGACCCTAACTCCAAACGAATGGTACATATGGGCTCCGGTGTCCTGAGGGAGCAAATGGCGTATGAACCAATCGTTGGTCACCAGCTACCATGGGACTGCATCTTCTAACGTTGCTCCACTACCTTGTGGATTAGATTTTTGTGTCGAATGCTTGGAGTGTGACTCCCTAAGAATACTACCTGTTTCGACCTGGGCATCTGGGCAGTATCACAGCCCATACACAAATCAAGTGACTTGTGGTGGATATTTATTTGGTGCCTTCTTGTACGAATGTTTGTGTTTAAATAAATAAATAAAGTGGCAAACTTCTAATTTTAGAGTGAGATATAAATAGTCCTTAAACACCTTGTAGGATTACCATAAAGTTTATACTACTGGCGATTCCGTAATAAACAGTATCAAAACTTATTTGTTTTTGTGGAAGTTTTGCCTTTGATCTCTTTCCGTCTTCTCATGTTTTAGTGATATTGAGTTTTCCGTTTAATTTATTATATAAAGAGGCTACATTCTTTCTTCATTAATTTTACGATTTGTAAGTTCTTGCATATTACCTGTCATTCTTTGCCGGGTTTTTGAAAAAAAAAGATTTTGCTGTTCTGCAGAATGATGAAGGCAGTTGCAGGGTATGTGGTGAATGTTTTGAGGTCATTATTAATATGGTACTTTATCTAACGAATATACTTTGAATAGCAGGTTGTTAGAGCTGACCTATTTGTATTTTTAAATGTGTCTAATTATAAGCTGTACAGGTTGTTATTGCACTTGAAACATTCCATTTAATTCCAGGTAGTTCACTAACTTAGTGTATGTATGTTATCGTTTTTTGTTTTTTAAAAGGAACTCGTTAAAATATTGTGTGCTGAGAATTCCATATCGTACTAAACATATATTGAATAAAGCCAGTCTCGCCATAACAATAAATCCATAAACTTGTTTTCTTGTCATCTCCATACATCTTAGCCGATAGTGCTTTGCAATAGTTTTGATTTTCGTTTCTTGAAATCCATTGCATTTGACTCACTGCCTCATTATCATACTATTCAGGTTCTTTAGAAAAAGTGCTGAAATGAAGGAATTCCTTTTTAATACATTACCTAAGTGTGCGCGTTGACATGCTAAGAAGAATTTGTGGTATACGTTATTTGTCATAATAATTGTTTTACGAAGTCATATTATTTAGGTAGTAATGGGTGCCACATGGTCCAAACAAAGAACATGTAATTTCATGGGATTATATTTCTAATGGCCATCTGAAACTTAAACTATATGGGGGGACCGATTTTCCATGCAAGCACTGATATAAAACACAGTAGTTTTTATCGTTTATTTGCAAAATAATATTACGTTAAGCTAAACACGAGTTCTCATTTTTCTAGTTATTTTCGTAGATTGGTCTGTGTACTAAAATATTGATTCGTGTTTTCGCCAGTATGTCTGTCGCACTAAATTATGTATTCAAAGTTTAGATAGACAGACATGAATTAAATTAAACAAGTGATCCACTAATTCAGACTGCAGGTCTCACTGTGAGCGTGTCAGTACACAAGTTAATCTATCGATTTTTAACTTCCATCCTGATTGGTCGCCTTTGTAGGTCACTTGTGATCGAAATTAGACAGGTCGGCCCGAGGACAGTCTGTCTAAATTAATTCTTTTTCAAACATAGGTTTTTCATTTAAGCTAGTTCTGGAGAGACTAGTTCTTGGCATCCGTCAGTTTCTTATTCAGCTATAAGTTTCATTAGGTTGTGAACTTTCATCATCCTTCGATGTTTGGACATTTCAATTTTGATGTTTTTTAATAACTCTGCGGGCATACTGTATTTTAATTACAGTTCTGTATTGGTTGAACTTTCTGAGGTTAGATATACTCTTCATACAACTGTAAAAGTAATGTTTGTTGAGTATTCTGCAAATTTCCCTCAATGCTTCCATGGTTTTTCTGAGGGTTGTTTCAACAGTTCAGATAATAAATGTCTATAGGTGACTGTCTCTTTCACTTATGCATTGTTTGTGCTTTTAATGTTACCTAATTTGGGGGGGGGTATCTGCTGTTTTTCTTTTCATATTAATGTTTTTACTCATAGATCTATCATGCACGTCAGTGGTTTGTTTTTGTTTTCGACTATTCCCACTAGTCGTCTGTTTACTTTTGTCTTCTGTTTTTAACTACTTATAAGTAACTCGTTACAATCAACAAAGTTTTGTGGTCGGGTAAAATTTTTTGATATTCGAATGCATGGTATTTTCGAACTCTACCAGGAGGTTATTACTTTTATTCATTCGTATACTATGATGACTCTCGAATACACGGAACTAAAGCTAAGAAACGGGTTACCGTGCTTACTTTGATCACCGAGTAGTAACCAATGACGGGTTAGTTCGTAGAACTACTACTCAATGATTAACCGTTGTACATATTTCATTCTTACGGGAGGTCAGTCTCAGCTTGGACAGATCGTTAGCGTATTATCATGCTATGAAAGTGGCTGATCTTGGTCCGAAACCCACTTGGGGTACTGGATACTCTCTGATTCCAGATACGACTAACTGACGAGTCTCAACCTATGTCCAGGTTCTGATAACTATCTCCAACTACATTATGTCAGTTACCATCTTATTTTGCGAATTTGTAAATCACTCCTTCCGTCATTTTGTACTTCCAGAAGTTAAGTCAGTCATACACAAATTAGGCTCTGACACATGTCCGTTGGCTGACGTCACATCATATCATCACAGTATGATGAAAGTATCAAAACAAATTCTCGAGTGATAGTAGAATAATAGTAGTAATAGTATAAGTGGTATTAGAACACATCATGTATATAGAAAGTAGCATTGGAAAAGAAAGAATGAATTGAAGGGATGAAGTAATTATAGGATAATTCAGAACTGGATATCTAGGGGAAGATGCTGAATACGTGCATCTGCACCAATGAGAAATATCCTAAGCCATGTCACTCAACGTTTCCAACTATCGGTACGATAGTCGTGACACCAATTAGGTGAGCTTCATCTGACAACACGGTTCAGTATAACAGTTAGTGAACTTTACACATTGATGTCACAGCTTGATTTGGTAGAGCTTATAGACTTCCTACACCGTACATCAAGCTTTGGTGAATGGGCATACGTAATGCATGCCGAAATTTGAGTGTTGTTGTATTCGGTCTCACTCGTTAGGTTTTTCTCATTTCTACCTCGATGTTCACTGTCATAAACTGTTTTGGTGGACTTTTCTGATTTTCCTCCGTGAGGAAATGCCACATTTCACATAAATTTTTACAAAATTGCTTTCTAGTCAAGTTGGTCGTTCAGTCGATTAATTAGTAATCGAACTTGTTGTTCTACATCTCTTTGTTAATTAAAATTCCAAACTTCTATTGAGGTACATAGTTACAATTTCCTTCCGTATTTATTTTTTAAAGGACTGGTGATCATTCTGAATGGAGAGTAGTACTAAGGCTAGGTTGGGCGACGACGGATTTCTATGTTCCAAGCAATGTATCCTCCAATGCTGCGTCACATCGAGCCCTTGTCTTGGAGTCATTACCTCGTTGCCTTTCTATTCGTGTCTCCGGTCGACCCGTACCCTTACCTGACCCCATTTTTCATGGTGGTCAGGCTCAACGTCTTGGAAAGCGCCTTCGTTTATCAATTGATATAACAGACAAAGTATGTGCATCTTTTTAATCTGATTATATTATTTTTAGCTCCATCGGTTTTTTGGCAAAACGTTTATTCAATACTGTCATAACCTGTGGCCTTGTGCCCTATTAGTATATAATGTAATGATACCGCCAATTAGAGAACAGTGATTTATCGACAGGCTCAATGACACATAAAACTAGTACGAATAGTCTAGAATCTGTCGGTCCTGCTTCCTGTTAAGTCCAGAACACCAATCTCAGCCTCCACGATATGAATGATGTATTTCAAACATACTGGGTTTGTATACACCAGTCAAACATACCACATCATACCACAAAATAGAAAATAACATTTGTACAAGATCTAGCCATAAGTCTCTGTGGTCGTAAGAGATTGTAATTAATAGACTGGGCATAACTCAAGAACGGTAAACGGTATACTAATAGTCTATGAGTGAAAATAAAGCTGGTAATAGGAGGAACATGAATATGCATAGTTTAGCTACTTAATAATTATTCAGTAAAAATAGTATAGTATTAGTCCAGAAATAAATTCCAACAGTTATCATTCATTATTCTCATCGGAATATAACAAATACATTATAACCAGTGAACCTTTTTATTTACATCGTTATTTAAAGACTAGGAGTTTTAAGCATAACTTAATGGGAGGACAAACGTTATAGTAATGATCTAGTACATTCCACCAAATCGCCTAATTAGGTTTATTCTAAGCTTGTACAAAAACCTCAGTAGTTTTCTTTATATTGTTAGATATGCTGTGGGATCTGTTTACTCTTTTTATCATCTTTTAAACTATCTCAAAACTTGACTGGAAATAAAAAATATCTCAGGATATATTAGAGAATGGTATTGCAATTAATGGTAATCAATGTTCTCTACTCAGTGTGAAAGTTAATAAACAGTTATTTAGTTACCGCATAACGGAAATGAATCGTTCTTAAGGTGGCCATGTTACTACGGTTTAATTATGCTTTAACCTCAGTTGCAGGTCCGAACCCCGACACACCTAATTCGGTTTGAGCAATAGGATAGTATCATTAACCCTCACACTTATAGTGTTGCTCATACTCGAGCACCTGGTAAACGAGTTAATCTAGTTTAACTTCAACACATCTCTTGTTTTGACAGCTTATTCATATGAAATATAACCTGTCAATATTCTTGTTTCGTATGTGCAACAATGTTCGATCAAATAAATTAACAAATATCCACAAGCCGTCTAAGTAAAAAATGATATGTTCAATATTGACTAACTTCATAACAAATTCCCGAAGTTCACTTAACAAATCGTGACTGCCGTGGTTAAGGCATGTCTCTAGTTAGATAGATATCATTAGTGCAACTAACTAATGCTTGCACAATATCGTTGATTAACAGAAGCTATAAATATAAACCCTTGAATTTCTAATTGAGTGTTATCAAGATAACGCACTCACCTTAAAGTTTCAAAGTCGTAGATTCAATCTGTGTTAGAAATACAAAGGGACGCTGCTAGGAAATCGAAATCTAAGATGAAACAACTGTCTAGCATATCCCGGTTTTCAACGTTTCTTCAATTCAAGCAATCAGTCGTAAGTAAATTAGATTATGATACATATATACATTGGTCAATTTCGGAATCTGTAGCCAATATATTCACTTCAAACAAAATATTAAACGTAAATACTGAATAGTAGGAGTAACGTTACACATAAAGGGAAACAAATAAGTGCCATCACATGGATTTTATATATGAAGGGATTTTTACACACAAATAAGCAAATGCATACAAGAAAAATCTTACAACTATGTGTCAAGGTATGGGCCCATGTAATACATATCCAAACCACCTCAGACGATGAAAATTCACTACTTTACAAACCGATTTCCAACCTTTACTCAGTGCTTGATCTTGTTTTTTAATTGGTTTCACTTGATTCGTGACGAAAATGATCTCCAGACTGAACTATTCTTCACAAACCACCGAAGTAAAAATTACATGATGGAAACACTGTAGATATGAAGTGTCATCCATAATGGTTTCCAACTTAACTTAGGCAATTTTCAACAAGTTTGGTAAACACATTCACTAAATTTTTGTTTTTAACTTGGTTTCACCGAAGCCTTGTTCATTTAATCGAATTTAGTTAATTTCTAGACAAATTGAAGTAAACATTCCAATGAATCTATTGTAGATATCCAACTATGTAGTGTTGCATTATCTATCTCACAAATATTTTAATGATTAGTGACTTTTTACCGTTTACTTATCACGTTAATAAATTTCCCGATAGGGGATGAACAAACGGAGTATATTTACGTATTTGTGTTACTTGTTCCACATAGATTTCACGAGTTACAACTTAAACAATAATTTTTTTAATCAGGTACTCATGAAGTGTGGTTCTGCAGTTAGAAACAGAGTTGTCGATATTGAATTAACCTGGTTGCATGCACCGTTGGAAGATCAATCTGTAGGACTCTTAAACTTGGTTGCTGATGGACTGGTTTCTCCATTGTTATGTCATCTAATTGGGTTGCCTCTAGTTCAAGTTACACTTGATCGAGCTTATTCAGTTTCCGATCTTCGAAATACCTTTAATTTGGAAAATCCAGAGGCCTACAAAAATTTCATCAATGGACCACTCTTAGATCCTATCGAATTTCCATCATTAACAGTAAATGCAGATGGTTCAGGAACTTTAGAAGATCACGGGGTTTTCGGGGCTTATGACAATTGTTTGCCACCGGCATTCTCACTTCCTGCTGATAATACAAAAGTAATGATTTTTGTCTCAACTAGTTTGCTAGTTGTCAGTCTTTTTTACAGTTCCGATGCATAACGTTATGAAAACGATCTTGACATTTAATTGTCCAAATGTATTTTGATGCTTTTTAAGTGAAAGCAGCAACAGGCAACAAAAAATATATTCGGGTTGATATAGTCAGATAATTGTTATTTATATCAATAATCAGTAACTAGTAAGCTTCTAATTAATCAGAAGTGATAGTTTTCAACCTTAAATTGTTCAATACAACGCCTATTGTGATTTCTAGTAAATTTTAGTGATGAAAATAGTTGATCTTCTGACTCATTAACAACAGGAATGATCCAAATAACTGCTATTCGACGAAGTGAACCCTAGTTTATCAAAGTTGTAAAATCAAATCCCACTAGTTCTAACCTAAAAGACTAGTTCCTTACACTGCCAAAACTGTAATTCCGAAGGCTAATTCTGTGTTTTAATTTAGGTTTTTCACGTTTTATTTTAAAGACTCCATTAACCAACAATGAACATCAAACAAATGGTGACTTGATATATACTACCTTGAAATAAGTCAGTTTGATAGTCTCATCATATTTCTTTTTTAAACGTTGTACCTAACCTTTAACAGGGTTTGCATTTGTACTCCATCTGAGCAACGTGTTAAAGACACCGATAATCAAGTACTATCAACGTCCATATATTGTTTAACATCATCGTTTACTTCTTACAAATGAATGGTAGAGAAGTCTAATATTAATCAATCTTATTATGTAAACGAGTGTTTTTGTACCACACTTAAGTGAATAATTATTGTAAGATGTTATGTTCTATGAGTTTGGTTTGTGTCAGTAAAATAACTTGTCAGAAAAAAGGTGGTCATTCATTTGAAGGAAACAGCTGGTTTGATTTTGTGATCTTGAATTATTTTTAAGCTAGATTTTTAAGTACAAAATGATTAATTCCAAGCACTTTTGCATTTCATACTAATGTTCTGTGGTTTGTGAAAGACATCTGTTAATATTATTTATTCCTACAACTTTTAGATCAAAAGTAATCATTAATAAACAACTTATTTCTTATTCTGCCGTTATTTTTCAACTCTAGCATGAACTGAAATCTCGGCTTCAAAAATCGTCTGACGATAGTGATTTATGTTTTGAAGATGGTGACGTTGAGCTTGCTGACTACATCCCTGTGTGCTTATTGTGTCCACTAACTCGAACAAGAATCGATGTAAGTTTCTCCCCCTTTACACTGACATTGTTATTACTTTCCTGTGATTAGTTTGCCTTTCTAAATTTGTTATTTAGCGCTTTATTATCAGTATTTGTGTGGTTTAATAATCGTCTATTACTGAACTCTGCCCGTAGTTTTTACACAAATGTAGTATCGTACCTAGATTTGATTTTTCTTCAGTGTCATTCGGTTTCACATACTATAACCCCTCCTCTTTAACGTACTAATACAAAAAGGCAATGCTGTGCCATTTTTTAAGATGGAATATGTGAGTCAAGTGTAGGTATTCCAACAGCGTTGTTATTGCCTGCATTTAAGAGTATCGTTAAATAAAATCTTAAGCTGTGTTTGCTGTGTATACTACAATTATAATGTAATTCATTTGAGCCAAACACTTCATGTGATTCTTTGAAGCTGACCACATTGTTTTAACAACTAAGTTATCACTCCCGATAGTTAGATTATACAATTCTAATAACTTTTCATTAAGGTGTTTTTATAAAACAGTATTCGAAACTAAAATTTTTTGTATGCCAACGTAAAAAGCGTAATCCATACAACAGTTAATCGTCTATTATAATAATCATGTCAACTATCACTTTAAATTATTTAAACATAAATAAAAGAATGTTATTTGTTAAAATTATTTGATCTTTCCATATTTTTATTGTAGCTTCCTGTACGATCGTTCAACTGTTCACATCTTCAGTGTTTTGATTTACACTCATATTTAACAATCAATATGCGAAGACCTCGTTGGTCTTGCCCTATTTGTAGTATCTCTGCACCATTTCGTGACTTAAGAGTAGATGAGTAAGTGGACTTTTTTAGTGTTGTTATGTCTATCGATTAATAGGTGTAAGAAATCTATAAGTTTGAACAAACCAAGCTGTGACATCAATGCGTAAAGTCCATTAACTGTTATACTGAACCGTGTTGTCAGATGAAGCTCACCTAATTGGTGTCACGACTATGTGTCATTGGGCCTGTCGATAAATCACTGTTCTCTAATTGGCGGTATCATTACATTATATACTAATAGGGCACAAGGCCACAGGTTATGACAGTATTGAATAAACGTTTTGGCAAAAAACCGATGGAGCTAAAAATAATATAATCAGATTAAAAAGATGCACATACTTTGTCTGTTATATCAATTGATAAACGAAGGCGCTTTCCAAGACGTTGAGCCTGACCACCATGAAAAATGGGGTCAGGTAAGGGTACGGGTCGACCGGAGACACGAATAGAAAGGCAACGAGGTAATGACTCCAAGACAAGGGCTCGATGTGACGTAGCATTGGAGGATACATTGCTTGGAACATAGAAATCCGTCGTCGCCCAACCTAGCCTTAGTACTACTCTCCATTCAGAATGATCACCAGTCCTTTAAAAAATAAATACGGAAGGAAATTGTAACTATGTACCTCAATAGAAGTTTGGAATTTTAATTAACAAAGAGATGTAGAACAACAAGTTCGATTACTAATTAATCGACTGAACGACCAACTTGACTAGAAAGCAATTTTGTAAAAATTTATGTGAAATGTGGCATTTCCTCACGGAGGAAAATCAGAAAAGTCCACCAAAACAGTTTATGACAGTGAACATCGAGGTAGAAATGAGAAAAACCTAACGAGTGAGACCGAATACAACAACACTCAAATTTCGGCATGCATTACGTATGCCCATTCACCAAAGCTTGATGTACGGTGTAGGAAGTCTATAAGCTCTACCAAATCAAGCTGTGACATCAATGTGTAAAGTTCACTAACTGTTATACTGAACCGTGTTGTCAGATGAAGCTCACCTAATTGGTGTCACGACTATCGTACCGATAGTTGGAAACGTTGAGTGACATGGCTTAGGATATTTCTCATTGGTGCAGATGCACGTATTCAGCATCTTCCCCTAGATATCCAGTTCTGAATTATCCTATAATTACTTCATCCCTTCAATTCATTCTTTCTTCTCTAATGCTATTTTCTATATACATGATGTGTTCTAATACCACTTATACTATTACTACTATTATTCTACTATCACTCGAGAATTTGTTTTGATACTTTCATCATGCCGTGTTGATGTGGTGTGACAACTTGATCTTATGGATATATGTGACAGGTTTTACGTTGCTTACGACTGATTGATGGATTTTAATAACATTTCCATTTTTCACTATTCATGTATCGTTAGTCTTATATCCCTTGATGCACTAATTGCCTAATATTTACTCTTATAAACAGTAAATTGAAGTGTAGAGATTATTGATGTAAATAGTAATTTTTTTGTAATTTCATTTTCTTTTCCACACCAGATTTTTTATGAGTATTTTGAAAAATCCTCGTAGTGTTGACGTTGAATTTGTTCAGTTGGATGCAAATGGTGATTGGTATTTAAATAATCCTAATGACGTTAGTCCAAATAGTTCTTTCATCACGGAATCTAATCAATTAAAAATTGAACAGAAAAATGTCGAAAATGTAAAGGCTCCTATTACATTGAAAAATCTTGAAGCACCTAATGAAGGAGACAAAGTGACTACTGATAAATTGAATGAATCCGAAACAAACACTGTTGATATAAACAATACATATATGGAAACGACAGAACAAGTAACTAAAGATAATCACAACAATACTAATAGTAATAATGACAATTGTCAGCCAGAACCTGAGGTAATTATCTTAAGTGATGATGATGATGATGATATTAATAATAATGATACAAAGGAGACGGAGACATATGTCCAAAACGGCAGTAATGATAAAAGTGTGAATCAGTGTCCACAAAATGTTGATAAGCTTAAAACCGCTTGTAATAACGGTCAAAATGATGATATAAATAATGGTTTTCCATGTTTAAAAGAAAGAAGTACTATGTAAGTCAACACTTTCCTATGTTCCACTGGTGTTTACACCTTTTCAGTTGTTTCACTTCCATTATGTAATGTCTACTTATCTATAAACTGTTGAATAAGTTATGCAATAGATTTTATACTGTAGTGATTGCATATTAAGGCAACAGACATTTAAAAAACAGAAAATGATAACATTTCGAGAAACAAGTCCGCATCATATAAGCATACATTTTTGGGAGTTAGAAAGTCATTTTTTGTATTAATATTATCATTATTAATTATTGTTAGAGGAGGGTATATTGGGCTGACGAGTCCCAAGCAGGAAGAAACACTAATCTTTGATGCTACTACTAGTCCCAATACATCTGTTTTATATCTCCTGTCTATAAAAATATCACTACTATGATAACTTCTTGTCGGAATTATCAGTGGATATAATATATTTAATAACTTCAAATGTAGCTAGTTACTTTTAAACCAGTTTTTACGTATATCTAAATCATTTCCATTTTCGATTCTTCATAGCTCAAGTAATACGCAGTCTACACGAACTTTCACGCTTGAAATCGATCTGACAAATGATGATTCAGATTCTTCTTCACTTTGTGAACCAAATAACAGAATATTGGAGACCCCTTTTACTACTGATCATACTGTTCCGACAAATGACATTCAGCAGTCGGATCTTTCATCTGACTTTATTCGCACAAGAGATGAAATTCGATTTGGTAATAAAGGTCCGTTAGTAGTGATTAGCCCGTTACAGTCTATAAGTATTCCCAATTCTTTGTCTGGCTCAACTGAAGAAAATGATTTAAATTCCCATTTAGATGAATTTAACGCTATACGTAATGAATTGATTATGGATCCTAAACAGATCTCACGTGCAGACAGTAATTGGCCTCCAGAACTTGTGCAAACTATGTTGAGAACCTCTAATAGTTCCGTTAACAATATCAATCAGTATGATATCATTGGTTCTAAATCTGCTTTCTATCAACGACTATTGGAAGTAACTGCTCATCGAGTGAATCAAACAATGCTTAAGAAAAATTCACATATCCCCTTAAGAGATAATGAAAGATTGTTATATAACAAGGCATTATCTCTTGCTTTTGATGGTGGTGGGTCTAAGAGGAAAGGAAACTCAACTAAACCTAATAATAACAAGGTTAATAGTAGACCAAAAACATCTAAAAGGGTACTAACATCCGATTCTGAAGGTGAGTTTTCATGTTGTGATAATAAATTGTTCAGCCGTGTTTTTATTAATGTAGGGGGTTGTATCGGCAACATCGATCAAACTGTTCTACCGTCTATGGCCTGTGACGACTGATCCACCTAGCAAGGTAGAATTCCGCAAGGAACTCCAACTCTTGAAGCGCTACATATCACCAGACACAGACGACTTACCTCCAGTCCTTTCTAAAGATGGTGGTGACTTCCTGGTTAAGGAACTGACTGAGTTGTTTACAAAGGTCTGGCAATTAGAGAGTGTTCCAACATCACAAAATGAGTCGATAGTTGTCCCTATCTTTAAAAATGGTTCACACCGTTTCTGCAAAAACTATTGGGGAATGAGTCTACTCCCGATTGAGTCCAAACTATTGGCTCCCGTCATACTTCGTAGATTGTTCGAAACCCGAGAAAGATTGACTCGCGAGGAGCGGGCTGGGTTTCGTTCTGGTCGAGGATGTATTGATCATATGTTCACCCTCCGCCAAATGTTAGAACACCGCCATACTTATCAAAGGCCAACAATCGTAGTGTTTCTTGACATCAGGGCTGCCTTCGATTCGTTGGACAGGACTGTTCTCTGGGATTGTCTATTGAAGAAGGGTGTGCCTGAGAAGTTTATTGACATCCTAAAAGCCCTATATACAAATACCTCAGGCAGAGTGAGGGCATACAACCATCTCTTTCCATCGTTCCTTTCGAGCAGTGGGGTTAGACAGGGTTGCCCAATCTCACCATTCCTCTTCAACTTTGTTATCGATGACATTCTGGAAACAGCTCTGATGGGTGTAGGGAATTGTGGCTCATATATATCTGGTGCCCCCTTGTACCAATTATTGTCACTATCTTGCAACATCGAGTTCAATAGCTTGGACATGAAATACTGTTATAACGCTCAAGTTTTCTCTGTCTTTACGAATGAGACGTTAATTTACCTTCGACGAATATCTGCACTAGATTCCCTCCCAGTGTCTACTCTACAGGACTTTAACACAACTCACCTCAGAAACACGTGGTTAGCCTGACTAGAACGTAAATATATTTCACACCAAAGACCGACACAATTCAACACAATCGATCATTAATAATAAGGACAGGAGAATATATAACTCATGGAACGCCTGTCAGACTATCTACTAGTCTGACTAAGCAAACAACTAATCATTATCATTCTTGCCCACACATCACCTACGAATGTTGTCCCAGAGAGTTCGACGTCTTAAATTGTTTGCCGACGCTGGGACTGGTTGGAAAAAAGCCGAGGGATGGTCAGTGTATGACAAGGTGTCGTGGTATGAAATAAAATTGTACAAGACTGGCTTCTGCTAATCCTTCATGACTCCCTGGTCGGAGTTCTAGAGATGGTGCGACTCAGTGACTAGAGACGTTATCAAATATGGCTCAGAATAAAAGCCGTTGGCGATCCTTCTGTAACTTTATTTTACTTTCTTCGTAAATGTGACTTTTTTAACTGAAGGAATTCTTTCTGGTTGTATTTTTCCTAACTGAACTGTTTCTCCCATTATTATTATTATTATTATTATTATTATTATTATTATTATTATTATTATTATCACTATTATTATTATTATTATTATTATTATTATTATTATTATTATTATTATTATTATTATTATTATTATTATTATTATTATTATTATTATTATTATTATTATTATTATTATTATAATACGCATTTCACATTCTCTATCTCTTCACAACCTCATTGTGATTGTATGGTGCATATGTATTTGGTGCCCCTTTGTACCAATATTTATGTGTTCAAATAAATAATAAAGGGGAGTTGTAAAATTTTTAAAATTTTATGATTTACCTCACAGACTGGCCTCAGTCAGACAACCATTAAAGATCGAAAAGCACTAGACAGTCGTATGAGACTCCGAGGCGGAAATGTAAGTCTGCGGCCTCGTCAGCAAGGATGTATGCCGCTGTTAATGGTCTAAAGCTTAAGGGCTTTCTAGGAAACTTAGCCACGATCTCTAACGTTGTTGTGCACGCGTGCTTCCAGTGGCGAGTCCCATAATGGGATGAGGCAGCTGTCCAGTCCTTACTGGTTCACAGTAGTTGATCAACGTCAGTCAGTTTTTGTTGTCAACTAATAAAACGGTTTTGCCCATTATTTTATTTTTCTTAATTTCTTGACAGCCTTTGACTCAAATAAGTCTATGATCTCATTTTAATGTTTTAATGCTTCATTTTGCGTTTCTTTTGTTTTTCTAATCGTCAGTTTTACTAACTGAAACTTGGACTTTGTTTTGCCAGGCTAACTGTTCTTTCGGTTAGTCGGGTTAATTTACACACTGGTCACAACTTTTGATATTATGTCTAGATAGTCAGATTTATTTTCTTATATATATCATGTTCAACTTCATCATAACTCTGATGTATTGTTGGTAACTAAATTATAATCATTTATTTCGTGAATTCTTCTACTCTTTAAATAAGTAGTATTTATTTGTTTACGGTCTGATCGTTTTATTATTTTAATTGAATTCCTATTATTTCATCTTAAACGGCTGAAAACGAATGAAAGATTTTGTTTGTTTGCAAATATTTTATTTATTAATCTTCAGGTCTATTTTGTATTTCTGTCATTATTGTTTTATAGATGAATTCCCAGATAAACCTTGTTCAATAGCAAGTTCTTCGACAATCACTGGTCGTCGCAATGCTCATATAATCAAACAACAACAAGCTGCTGCATTAGCACGCCTAATACAAGAACGATCTACTCGTATCAGAAGTACATCTGAAGCATCCAATGAACAAAATCAACAAGGAATTGAAAATCTCCCTTCAACAAGCAGTAGTAGTAAAAACGTTAAATCTAAGAAAAATATTGTCAGTACTCAATCCAATAAAAAACGTCCTATTCGTAAGCGACCTCGTCGACGCCGACCTTCAAATATATCTGATGATAGTAACTCTTCTAGTCAATCTTTATATACTTCAGAAATGTCTTGTGTTTCCACTTCAGAACCATCAAATGACTCCTCTTTTGTTAATTCATCACAATGTACTGATGAAGATGATGACTTGTCAATCGACTCATTCTCATCAGATGATCGTTGGTCTCCTTCACATGTTAGCTTCAACAGGAAGCAAAAAACTAAACGCAAACCGAAAGTACGTCGGTGAAATTTTCGTCTTTTATTCAAATCTCAACATTTTTTCCTTCTAAAGATTGTAAACCAGTTTTATTATCAGCATTTTTATTTGTTCTATCAAATTTGTACAGTATAATTGGTTATTTTTTTCACACATACACACACACACACTTTATCTACCTTCATATACATGTATATTAACTCAAGATCATTTTCAATTACAATTCGAGTTTTTGTGGATTCCCTTTCATTTCGAGATACTGTTATATTTTTCTTTAAGTGTAATAAATATAAAAAATCTTTTTACAGCTTTAAAAACTAACAGTTCATCATCAATCTTGAAAAAATTCATTATAAGTAACTGTCTGTAAATTCGTCAGTCCATTAAAGCAACACAATACCTCGCGTAAATATTCATGTTGCTCAGGTAGCTACATTACATCAACAGAAGGATAAAAAGTTGAAAAGTTCCATACCAGAAGAGTTATAGTAAAGATAGTGTCTATTATTGTGACTTACGATGCTTTATTGAGATTATAGCAGTTTTATTGCTTTGCTACCAAATAGACTTTGTTGACAATCACGAATTGCTTGAACATAGGCAGGATTTAAACTGTTTTGTTCCCTCAAATATTTATCAGTTTACGTCTCAGTCGGTCCCTAATATTGTAGAAAAGTTGTGGCATCAGATCAGCAAGGAACCTATTATGTTTGCTTCAACATATATTTAGTTGATACTAGTTATTTACAAAGATTTTAATATACCACATTAATAAATGCAAGTTCATGATGTTGATTTTCTCAGAAAATGTTAAGCGTGATTGTTCTTAGTTTTTAAGGTTAACTCTATGTATTCTCCTCAACTTCATTAAGAATTCCCAAGAATATGTCAAACGCTATCCTACTTGTTGAAATTATGTATGTGAATCCGAAACATTTCTTGTATGTTTGGGAATCACTTCATGAGCAATGCTGAAGATAGACTCAGTGTAAGGGGTTAGTGTGGCGATTTAGTTGATAAAATAGTGGATCTGTTAGGTTCGTTAATCTTGAGGATACTACTGATTCGACTTATTCGGAACGGAACGAAGGCTCAGGATTCAGAGACTCAATAGACTATTCTGGTCTGTTGTCTTCGACTCAGCTAACTCGATCAAGAAGTCTTGGTAAGGCGTAGAAAGTGTATCCTACAAGCAACAGCAGATACCAAGCCAGGTCAGGCAGATCAGATCAAGCATACAAGTCAAGCGTATTTATACAAATATATATCGATTTTGTCATAGGAAATTTTTAAACAATAATCAATGAGTCATCAATGGTCTGCTATTTAAAAATTTAATCGATAAGTTCATAACTGACTGCCATTCAAATATTTAAACATTTAATCGATATGATAAAATTACAAAATATGAGTTTGGGGGATATATCGGCCCCAACAGGATCCTCATCTGCTACAGAGATTTAGACATGTATTACACATAAACATTGGTACAAAGGGCACAGAATACGTATGCGCCACACAAGTCACTTGATTTGTGTGTGGGCTATGATACTGCCCGGGTGCCCAAACCGAAGTAGGTGGTTTCCTTAGGGGGTTCACCCCGAGCATTTGACATAATCTAATTCACAAGGTGGTGGATCAACGTTAGAAGATGCAATCCCATTGCAGCCGTTGACCAATAAATGATTCATATGCCATTGCCTCCAAACGCGCGGTACGGCCGAGAGTGGGGAGAGTCCGCTCTCCCTCGAAATGCTCTCACATGGCCACGCGTATATAGCCTCTGCCAGGGAAGTCCTACTCATTGCCTTCTCGTGGCGGGGGTGTTGTTTACGAAATTGAGAGGGCGGAAAGCGAATGTCTGGCGCTTTAACTGGGTTGACGAACACGGAGAGTCCACCTAGGGGAGTCGGAAAATCCTGATTCCAAACCAATGGTGCACATGGGCTCCAGTATTTTGAAGGAACAAATGGCGTATGAACCAATTGTTGGTCATCGACTACCATGGGACTGCATCTTATAGCGTTGCTCCACTACATTGTGGGTTAGATTTTTGTGTCAAATGCTCGGATTGTGACCCCCTAAGGAAACCACCTACTTCCGTTTGGGCTCCTGGGCAGTATCACAGCCCTCACACATATCAAGTGAGATTTGTGTGGCGCATATGTATTTGGTGCCTCCTTGTACCAATTTCTATGTGCTAAAATAAATAAATAAAGTCATATGCCATTTGATCCTTCATGACACTGAAGCCCATGTTCAGCATTGTGTGGAATCAGGATTTTCCGACTCCCCTAGGTGAACTCTCCGTGTTCGTCAACCCAGTTAAAGCGCCAGACATTCGCTTTCCGCCCTCTCAATTTCGTAAACAACACCCCCGCCACGAGAAGGCAATGAGTAGGACTTCCCTGGCAGAGGCTATATACGCGTGGCCATGTGAGAGTATTTCGAGAGGGCGAGCTGAATCTCCTCACTCTCGACCGTACCAGGGCATTCGGGTGCGGACATTTATTACTTTCCCCCCAAAGCCTCATACTTTAACAGGCGATGTTCGTTTATGTAGTAGACTGGAAGAAATCTGTAAGCTCGACCAAATCAAGCTGTGACATCAATGTGTAAAGTTCACTAACTGTTATACTGAACCGTGTTGTCAGATGAAGCTCACCTAATTGGTGTCACGACTATCGTACCGATAGTTGGAAACGTTGAGTGACATGGCTTAGGATATTTCTCATTGGTGCAGATGCACGTATTCAGCATCTTCCCCTAGATATCCAGTTCTGAATTATCCTATAATTACTTCATCCCTTCAATTCATTCTTTCTTCTCTAATGCTATTTTCTATATACATGATGTGTTCTAATACCACTTATACTATTACTACTATTATTCTACTATCACTCGAGAATTTGTTTTGATACTTTCATCATACTGTGGTGATGTTGTGTGACAGTGTCAGCCAACGGACACCTATTATCTACGTTGAGTTATGACCTAGCCAACTGACTGGTCCTTCATTACTTTGTTGTGACTATTTGTTATATCTTCGCACAGCTTTCTACTTAACACTTCATAACTGTAAAAATACTAGTATTGCTAGGCCTGATGTATTAGACATAACTGCATTTGAGCATTCCTTAATACCACAAAATAGATCTACAACAAATGCAACCGTTGATTTAAAGCTGTATCAAAATAGCCTTAAATCATGTCTGATTTTTTAATCTTGTCAATGAGAAAAAGTTGAATGTTGGAGATGTACGATCGTCAGAAATAAATCGTTATTGATTTTGGTGAAATTCTGTTTTATTCAATTATTCAATGTGAACTCCGGTCATTGACTTTCAATACATTTTTAGTATGAATTTTGTTCATTTACGAATACTCAAATCATAGACTTTAATTATTTTAATTGAAATAGAATCAATTAATTTAGATCTATTTTTAATTGTACTGTGTTTTTTATATTAAAAAGCTTCCATCAGTAGAATGGTAGTTTTACTCTAGTTATTCGATCAGAAAAGAAAAGAAAAGAATGAAAATGGTTTCATTAGCTACACTGAAGTTGTTGAATATTAGCATTGTGCACAAATGTATCTCTAAAATGCACGGTATTTGATATAAGTTGGTCAACAACTACATGCATGTATATGACGTAACAAGTTGACTACATTAGCTTACAGTGAAATAAATTATTGAGTTGAGTATTTGGTTCTTCCTGGTAAACCTAATTTCCATATTAAGTATCTGTTAAATGTCTTACTCATATTTCACCATATTTTAGTTAATAAGCTTTCTGAAAGTTGATTTCCATGGATCACTTTAATCTTGTTGATTTCTTATATGAATCACCTCTTTTCTAAATTGTAGCCCTTTTAGGTTTAGTTTCAAGTTAGTTGTAGTTTATTTATCGAGTGTGCTTTGCATTCATCTTTTGCGTCTTTAAGAGATGGTGTTACCATTCGGATGTCCAAAATAAAGTTGACGGAGTTTGAGTCCGCAACTCGTTGGTTACGCGTCAAGTTATTTAATCATTAAGTAACCTTTGCACAGTTTTAAGAAAACAACACTCGAATATACACTACTTTTTTGTGCTTTTTAAGGTTATTGCCGTAAAGATAGCTTGATACTACGCTCTTCAAAGCCTGATTATTAGTACTGTATGGGTTTACTCTCACCTGAAAATGAATATGAAGTCATTGCATTAACCCCTACTTACACTTACCATCAGTGACCATTGAAAACAATTAGATTTCGATGAAATACTTCAACAACACAGATATAAATTAGTTTCAGTATGATAGATATCCTGTTTATTTGTTATCAATTATAGGTAACATTGCTATTTCATATTTTGTAAAGCTAAAATGGACAATGAATTTCTTTATATTACAATTCCTAGTTTTAATTGCAGGATATATAGTAATGATTACGCGGAACTAAGCCTTTCCACATTCGAAAGCTTTTGATCATTTTCTCATCAAAGCTTGTCATAATGTAATTTATATTTTATAAATATGGCACTCCGTAGTCTGCCTCAAAGCTATATGATTTCTTAAGACTGGAGTGACCTCCAAAAAAATTTTAACGAGGAAAATAAGCTTATATAGTTTTCAGTAGCATTTTTGATTACAATGCATATGGGTGAAATTTTCGCCTACTTGGAAAGTATGAACCTATTTAGAAAAATCGTTGATCACATTCTAGATTATTGATGACCATATAGAATCAACCAACGTTTTTAAAGTTGAATATCTGTCAAAAGTATTAAAGATATTTGGAACGTTTCTAATTGTAGGTTGTGAATCTCACGTAAAACCAAACTCTGGATGTAATATGATAGCTGGAAGTACTCGACAGGAAACCCTTAAACTAGATTTTGCGCTATTTGAATCTTATCAGCAGTGTACCTGTAGTCAATATAAAAGTTGCATTTCATTAAAGGAAGTTTGGATTTTCACAGCTCAACCAACGTTACGTTCCTCCCTAGAAGTAGACCACATAAACATCTTTCACGTAACTTAATTACGTACTTTGATTCTTTAATGGAATATGAATATGTTAGATGTAACTATCAATATAGTCTGTCAACAGACTTTAAGTTTTTAATGACAACAATTATTATTGTCTGCCGAAACACACTTATTTATAGCTTAAAAATAAACTCTACTAACAAAATAGTTCCGATTCCAGTATATTATAACCAATACCTAGGATCGTCCTCCGTAAACTAACAACGTATCAATAAAAGCAGATTAAAGAATATAAAATGGTATCTCTAAAAAGCAATTTTACAGTTAACAGATTTTGTACTTGTTATAAAACTGGGCACAATGAGTCTCCAGGTTTATCAGAAAATATATTTACTCAAATTTAGGGGGAGCGGTTTCGCAGATCATTTATTTTATTTATTTAAACACGTGAACATTGGTACAAAGTGGCACCAAATACATATAAGTCATTCGATTTGCGTGAGCGCTAGGATACTGCCCAGGTGCCAAAACCGAAGTAGATGGTTTACTTAAGGGGCCACACCCCGAGACTATGACCTAAAAGTCAAATCCACAAGGCAGTGGAGCAACGTTAGAAGATGCAGTCTTATGATAGCCGGTGACCAACGACCGTTTCTTACGCCGTTTGCTTCCTTAGGATCGTGGAGCCTATGTTTACCATTGTTTTGTAATCAGGATTTTCCGACTCCCCTAGGTGGACTCTCCTTGTTCGCCAACCCAGTTAAAACTCCGGATATTCGCTTTTCGTCCTCACAATTTTGTAAACAACACTCTTTTACGAGAAGACAGTGAGTTGGACTTCCCTGACAGTTTTTATATAAGTGTGGCCGTGTGAGAGAATTCGGAGATTGAGAGTTGACTCTTCCCACTTTCGGCCATACCAGGGCGTTTGTGGGGCAGATATTTATGTTAGTAATATCAATTTAATCTTGCTATATTCGTAAATTGTGTCCATACAGCAAGTTATTGATTAGTTAGCGTCAGGTGACACTCAGTTGAATTTATTTACCTTCTTCCTATTAATCTTTCTCAAAGATTTTCTTCTGAACTCATTGTTTTCTTTCTGACTCTTGGTTCGAGTCATATCTGTTCCCTTTTAGATGAAACAATATACACATTATTTCTTGTCAGATTTCATATCTTAATAATACTAACTTTCAGAATTCGTGAACTCAGTTCTCACACAGTTTTCTAAATGTTGCCAGACACGGGTTTGTGCAATTAAATTGTGAGGATAGTTAAAAAATTTGTAACATTAATCAATTCATTACCAGTTTCGCTAAGCAGGTCACTGTGGAACGTTCTCGGCCACTGTTCACCTTAAATGTATAACCCTTTACTTCGATACCGTCAACTGCTAATTTTTTTGTAAGTTATTGCTCTGCTGGGTCATTTCATACAAGTCATGACAATGTAAAATATGTGGCGAATGAAGACACTAACAAAGTAATATTGTACCAATCATTCAACTTGAAGTTAGTGACTATTAACCATACTAAGAATGAGGTGGATATCATGGAACCTGAAAGATTATTTTCGTTTTTGATAAGTCGTGTAGGTTGAACGCTATAAACGATTCCTAAGCTATTTCGGTAACCCGCAGTCTAGAACTACACAGCGACTTGAACTCCAGAGAGTAGACACAAGAATGAGAGAAAACACCTTATTCCAAGGTTCATTCTAGTACAGAAAATCAAGGGTATTTATAGATGTTGGCGTCTGTTAAATTAACATCATATTTCAGCCAATCCGTTAACGTCATATTATGCTACCGACCAATGGTAGCACGCCACGCTGGAATTCTCGAACGTTCCATCATACTCTGATTGGCTAGGCCCTTCGGCTCCTTTTTGGGCCTCTGGAGGCTCCGTTGAAGTTCTCCGGAAAGCCGACCCAACAGTTTTATGTCACGAAAAGACTAAAATTGGAAATGCAGATCACTGATGTGCAGCTCGGTAGTCTAAGTTTATCGTAGATGCTACGAATTTAAAAAGTTATCAGTTCTATTCCAAAAGAAGTATTATATGCGCATCACCGGGAAATCCTAACCTATGAATAAACACTAGTTCAGTATTCCCTGGTTTCCGATGCTTCTCCGATGGAGTCTTTCTGTGATGATAACAAACTTAAAAATTATAATTACCTGCAGATAGTTTATTTTCAAGTCACTAGTTAACCTTACTGTAACGATTAAAACTTTGTGATACTCCTACCATATATCTCACTTTGTCGTAAATACTCCATAAGCATAGATATTGCAAGAATAATTTCATAAAGCATGCTTACTATCACCCACCACTCATTATGGCCATTTTACAGGTGTTTTTGTGTTTAATAGAATTTGACCAATCAAGTTAACAGATTCTACATGTATACTAATTCAATTCTCATTATGATTGGTCAATTTTAAAGCTTTCAGAAACTATAATAACTAAGCGAAGTATATTTAGGTTAAAAGCAACTGCTGATGTGTTTACAGGTTACAATTATGGAATACCATTCATTTAGCTTTTGAAGGTAAAAAACTATGCAATAATCTTATCCTCTACCTCATTTGTCAACCAAAGTGAGTATTGTTTATATTCCGTTTTTAATTACGATACATAAATGTTCATTAATATGTCAGGATTCAGTTCGCGCATTCACAACAACCTTATTCGATATTATATGAGAATGATAAGTGAAGCTGAAAAAAAGTCCAAGACCACTGCTAGCATTGGTTACTTTCTGATTACGAGTATATGAAAGCTGTTGATTTAGGTCTGGGTTGAACGGAAGTTATTGCTCTTTAGAATTCATGGACTGTAGCTGATAGCGGAGCCCGAGTCATGTATTTCGTGCTTTTTTGAACTTTTCACTTTGATTTACATGGATTTGTGTTGATGTCCACAACGAAACTAGAGCCCGATACCTTCCGCTTCAAACAACATTGCGTTATCACCTGAGCTACTGAAACCAGACAGTTAACCAGCACGCGATGCATATATGTCAGCAAAGATTGATTAAAATAAATCATATGATTCTGATAACCTTCTCATTACATTATCCGAATTAACGAAACTACGGTAGATTTGAGTATTGTAGATTAAATCTAGCTAAAATATTGTGTTCTAGGTAAAACCAAAAATTAGTGGTCAAATACCTGGCAAACCCAATCACATCAAATAAATTTAAATGCCATTAAACAAAAAATGGAGTATGAATAATTGGAAATTTAAATTACATCATGACGATGACGATACCCATAACGGATAACTCATACTAATTCTACCGCTAGCAGTTTATTTGGAAGTCTAATAAATCTGGTCATTTCAGCAACTGTCTTGAAATGATGAATATTTAAACATTATGTGTTAGGTTAACACCAGAAAGAAATGTAATCTATTTGTTGAAGGTAAGGATTTTAATTCAATTCCATGAGGACTCTACAGTACTCGTTCAATTACTCCAGCTTGATAAGTTGTCATTTAGTTGATAATGACTTCTGATAATATCCTTGTTAATTTCATTCCATTGTAGTTTACTATAATAAGATATAAATAATTGATATAATAGGTGACAGATTTCAGGATATCATATATGTATGTATATGTAGTCATTTGATCTTTATTCGAAACCACCTGCATTTATAATCATGATAATTTTATCTACCTGCACTTATGTAAATCAAACTTAAGGCATATGATTTTATGGCTTTAAATATTTTTATTTGGGAATTATAATGATAATTCGATGAAAGATTGAACATATGTATGATTATATAAGTTGTATGTGTACTTTAATATTGATTAAAGGCTAATTAATCCAGAACATCCAATATTTATTTATTTTAATGGTTAATATTATGAGCCAAATGAAGCTAGATCACCATAGGAAACCTGAAAGCGCTGGACGGCCGTTTCGTCCTATTGTGGGACTCAGTGGCAGTGCGCATCCACGATTTCGCCTCGCGGGATTCGAGCCCAGGACCTATCAGTCACGCGCTTCCAGGTCTAGTTTCAATTGACTCTTGGTTTCAACCATTAAAATTACTATAATATCCACAAAAACCCCTTCTGATATTTATTTATTTATCCATTGCTTGTCGCATAACAAGATGATATTATCAGTATATATAGCACTTATGAAAAAAACTGTTGTATAAATTTATCTATTATTATATATTCAGACTATAAACATAATGAGATCATTTGAGTGATATTTCACAGATTATACGCATTAATGTCATCGTATAGTGAGTAGTTGACTTGAAGAAACTTTCTATCTGTTACTTCTAAAATTAATAACTAATGAATATTGATGAAGAATATTTTTATTTACATTAGTAGATTAAAGGATTCGTATGATGTAAAGTTGGAGTTTACTAAGTGATAACATCTTTCGAACAATTATTCTGTTTTACCTTATAATCTACTGATTACCCAGTATACTATTCATGGGGGCGAACCTAAGACTTTATATTTCTAGCACTTAGTTAAACATTATGACCTGTAGTATTAGATGAGTAGCTTTATTCCATGTTATTCATATGAAATTTTTTAAAAAATAGATGTTATAATGGGATGATTATTGCGAAGTTGAATTTTCGAGACTATTTTACCTGAATTTATTATTGATATATTTGTTTTTTAAAAAAAGTAATAAATACTTGAATTATTGTTCATTTGTATACATATTCTTGTGAGCTTTACGATGATGCATAAACTGTTGTTGTGTTTTATAGCTTTCTTAGGTTACTGTCGATTTATTACGGACCCATTACTCAGTTCACTACCACATATGGCTTAATTATGCCGTTAATGTAATTTCTTAATAATGATGACGTTTGGTCAGAATCTAACTCGGTTTCAGTGATTACTGAGTTGTGTATAATGATATAAGCTAACTACTGACTTCACCTTGGATTTAAGGCAAGGGACCGAGAAAGGCTTGGGCATAATAAGCCAATAGGAATCTATCTTCGTCGGACCAAGGTTAACGGTGCAAGTCAGACGTGTAATTGGTGAAGCCTATGAAGAGAAAAAAAAATCAGAATTGAAGTTGTGATTGGTGATTTTAACGCCTGATATCAATCAGTGATCTCAAGCCACAACAAGAGATTTACTGAAGTCTGCCGATCGGTCAGTAATAAGCGCTAAAAACGGATTTCTGACAAGTATAAGTAAATGTTATTTTAAAAATTCAATTTCATGCAATTGGTACCCTTTACAAATTTGAATAAAGCCAGAACAGAAACTGAGGCATAATAATATTAATGCATCATATTTCGTGTTTTCTAACCAGCCGCTTACAATTATATACGTATTAAAGTGTAACGTTGAGTTAAGACATAATGTGAAACAATTGACATCAATGATGGAAAGAATTAGAATAACAGAGATTATTTGTCCCACATGTTACTAATTACACTGACTTTTCCCGTGTTGTAGAGTAAATCTGTGTAATGAAAGTTCTTTAGTCATGATTCGAGACTAGTCCTACACTATTTTGAAGATACATTAACCATCGTATCATCAAAATGGTATTAAGGGATTAATATTTTCTGAATTATTAAATTCTAAGACTAAGCATCTATGAAATACTTTCTATATCTTGCACAGTTTTTTATCTGACGTCTTCACCTTCATACATACACTGAGAATATATAAAGCTTTTGTACGTTTTACATTCTACCATTCATATGATAAAGAGTAATCATATTCAAAAAACTCTCCAACATACTCTCCGGGAATGTTTCCAATTCTAGCTCACTGAAAATAAACTTAACAGAATAATTAATAAATAAGCTTGATAACTACTGTAAACCACAGAGTAGTAAGGAAATCTAGTAAGCTAAAATCTAATCCATCTTTAATGATCGATAACACCATCTGGTTAGTATCTACACGATTATCACAATATAATGGCTAGGTATTTAGGGTGATATGACTTAGGGTCCCCTTCATAACTGCAGGTGCACCCACTCAACGTCTTCTCTTAGACCTTCACTTTTAAGTTATCTTATAATTATTTTATCCTTTGAGTTCATTCTTTATTCTCTAATAATATTGTCTATACACATAATCCGTTCTACTACCACTGATAGCATTGCTACTATTATTCTATTATCACTCCAGAATTTGTCTTAATAACTTAATCTCATTTTGATGTAGTGTGGAAAATTGATGTGACGCGAATATGTCCCATGGTCTACGTCAATATAAGTTATCAACATTACTACTCCCTTTATTAATTTTTTGTGTTTGAAGGATTGACCGTTTTTGCATATCGATTTCTTATTTTTGATAAAACACTATTTCTGAAGGTTTCGCAATGATAATATTTTAATATTATTGACTACAAATCAAGTTTATGATCTATGCGGTGTTTTAAATAAGAAAGTTTTTTCTACATTTTTATATATTAGGAGATTAGTGGAGGTTATATAGTTTGAACTTACAAGTGTGAATCACTGGATGTTGATTCAGTGATTTGAAGTTAATACACTCACCATTATGCCTAGTGGTCCACAGTCCAATCTAATCCTGGGTTCTAGGTGGTTGTTGACGTGACCCATCCGAATACGTAACCGCCATTTAGTAGCCCTTGGTTGATTTCCTAGCTAAAGTTAATTCATGATTTATACTACAAATAAATGTATGTATTGAAGTGTTAGATTGTTGAAGGTATTAGGCAGAGAAACTAGGTTACTTGCTCATTGACACTCGTCAGTAAGTAAGTAAGTAAGTAAGTAAGAATATTCTCTTTCCTCTATGTCCATTTTTATCTATTTATTAGTTAGCAATCATATATGATGGTACATAGGAATACTCGTATAGTAAATATATAATAGTAACGGTACATTTATATTAATACTGTTGTCAGAGGTAAATTAAACTAAACTAACATAAAGTGCTACTTCTCATTTTTATAAAGTGATCACATAACGGGACGCCCTTTAACTATGTCACAGGATGTTGTTAATCCAGGAATTATCGTCAAATCTATTTAAATAAACAATCTATATTTTGACCTGTACGTTTATTGATTTACAGACGGATGAATATATTTATATGTATCATTACTTGTTTCATTCTTAGTATATTTATGGAACGAATAATTACTCAGCTTTCACTACTACATATTGACTGAGTTTTATTCTTGAAAAATACTAGGTCTCAATTAGCTAACAACATTTTTCATGGCTCTTTCAAAATCTGCCTTTGATATCAATCTCACAAAGAATATACGAAAAAACATCTAATTCAACTTGAGAAATAAAATTTTACTGTTTTCGTAAAAATCGGTTATGCATATTTTTAAATTCATTCAATCTGTTTATTGGTTACGAAAAAAAGTAACCAAAAATAGCGGAATTTGTAGCTTCTGTAAGTTAACAAATTTATTGACGTCAATTTAACATGTAAATGTTACCTAGCAATGTAATGGTAGCATATTTGCTATACACATACTATTTATAATCTGATAGTAGTTAAAAAATTTAGTCATAAATAACCTTGTATCTTATAGCAAATTGATTTATATATATCGACATTAGTTACAACCTAGTCACTTTATTGTCAATCG